AAAATGTGTATGTAAATCCAGCACATAATTTATTTTAAATATCATGTTTAACTTTTATACCTATTATGATTATCTTTGATCAATTTCCATAAAATTATTTACCCAACATTTATACAATGTACAATGCTATACAGAAATAAAATACGAAAGCGCCATTTTTTAATACAAATCATATTTAATATATATGTATTTGCATTGAGTAGAACATGTCACAGAAATAATCAAAAATATATAAACATCGCCATTTAGAATCACTAAGAAAGAAACAATTAAAACACAGAGATAATTTTGGCCTCAGGACACTACTACACATCTTCATATACAAATACACTTCATCTTGGGGGGGGGGGGGGGGCCTGTTAGGCGTATCAGGGCAGTGAGGGTTGAGTAGAAACATAGTCGTTCGTGCGCTTACTTCCACTACTGCTTCTGTTGCTCGGGACAGGCCATTTGGTATAGGAACTGTATCATGGTGCGTGTTGGGCGACCCGTCATACGATCCTTCAGCAAATACGGCAAGGTGCCATATTTTGTCAGCATTCCAACGCCTCGAATATCTAAATGCGCCCAGTCCACACAGGGAACAAATTGCTGTGCAAAGAAAATAGAGAGAAGGGGGAAAAGTAAAGGTAAAATAAGCCACCTGATAGAAAACATCATTGCTTACATGCAAAATGGCAGCCGCTAGGCAGGATGAAGCTGGTCCTTTACCAGTATTGCAGACGTCAAAACTAACATTGTCTACAAAAAAAAAACAAAAAACATTGAAAAATTAATCAATCCAAACACACATGAGTGATCGCTCGATTAATGTGTACTCACTTGTTACCAGGTACTTGTAGTAGTTCCAAAGTGGTAAGCGCCACATGCGATCGCCTGTTAGTGAGCCAGCTTTTTGAAATTGCTTCCAAATGTAGTGCGAGTTGGAAAATATGCCTGTTGCACCACCACCCAAAGCTTTCTTAACGCCTATACCCAGCGTAGCAACGTCGACCACAAGTCGAGGTTTGTAGGTGGTCTGAGCATAGATCAATGGATCCGCCATCACGACAACACCCGCCTTATCCGTATCCTATAAACAACAAAGTGTTAAATACGAGAATATTTCAATGGTTTGGATTCAATTTCATGCTTACACTTATTGCCAATGATTTGCCGTTGAGCAACGTGACTACGTCACCTGGTTTGCAAGCCATACCCGAAGGCATATTCTCGCAAAGTGGTATGACAGCAGAAATATTGATAGGTAGCGATAGAGCAGCAGCGGCACGAATGGATGCAACCACAACCGCAGCACCGGCCATGGCGCCACGATACTCATCCATACCCTTGCAAGTGCGCAAGCAGATACCACCGCTAAAAATAATTGATAATCAATTAGTGAACTAAATAATTTTTTCATAATAACACGGTGTTACACTGACCATAAACTTTTTAAGTACAGTACAGGTCGTAGGGCTGGTTTAAAATTTTTGTTACACTCCTCAAATTCTGAACTTATTCTTAAAAAACCATTTTTACAGGACTTGCCCGGTTATTTTTGGCAAAAAACAAAAAAGTAAATGTGGAAAAATAAAAAAAAAATGGTGCAAATTTCAGATTCCAAAAATTATTATAAAATTGTCCTCATAAAACTTATTATTTCTCTCAATAGTACCAATATTGTTCTTTCTTAAGCCTTATCAAAAAAAAAAAAAAAAAGTAATCGAACTAAAAATTGTTTAGTGCGGGAGTCATACGAAAATGGTTTTTTAAGAATAAGTTGAGAATTTGAGGGTGTTAGAAAAATTCTTAAAACAGTTTCGTGAATTACTTATTCTGTAACAACTTGTAATTACCAATTTTCATTTTATTTATTTTTTGTTTAAATTCATGTTTCTAAAGTTTATTTTAGTTTTTTATTTATTTTTTTCGTCAAAAATTTATCTTCGTTTTTGTATTTAATTTTTTATTCAATTATAGAATTTTTTTTTTATTTTATTTTTTTATTTTTAATATTTTTATTCATTAATGCTATTTAATTTATAATACCCTCTGATAATTCTAAATAATTTTGCATCTTACCTATTGAATGTCATACCCTTGCCCAACAACAAGATTGGCTTTTCTTCCGGCGCTGTGCCGCAATAGCTAATCTCTAGCAGCACAGGTGGCTCACATGAACCCTTTGCAATCATTAAAAACGAATTGAGATGTTGTTGTTCGATCCACTCCATTGTACGAATCTCCACAGTGACACCACAAGGGCACAATGCATCCACAGTCGCTTGTGCAAATGCGGTGGGTGTCATTTGATTAGCTGGACCATCACTTAGACGCCGAGCAAGATTTTGTGCTTCAGCTTTGAAGAGACCACGCGTCCAAGCGTCTATGTCGGGTGAGTCGTACAGTTCCAATTTGGGAGTCCCGGTTCGGTCTTTTTTCCTTTTGTTGTCCTGATAACGCCATATCGCTAGAGCACTACCTTCGGCAGCTTGTTCGGGGTACTCCATGGAATCGACGAAGACCTCTGAACAACCTTGCATCTGTAGGCTGCGGGCACCGACACCAGCGGCGACCCGAACATTTTCCTAAATTATCGCGAAGTGGTACGTGATTGCAGAAAATCATTTAAAAAATTAATCGTTTTTCAAATTGGACACATTTTTTGGGCATCGAAACGCAAATCGTAACTATAGCTTTTTAGTTACTCAAAATTAGGATACGGTAGTGCAATTTTGATTACATTACAGATTTTTTTTTATGAATGGAAAGATTTTTCTGTCAAATAATTTTTTCAATGACGGCATATTCGTAAAATTTTAATTGTCATATTTACTAAAGATTTTTTTTAACTTTCTTTGCTGTCAAAGTTTACAGTTTTTTAAATTTAAAGCCTTTTATAATATTTTATAATATTGCGAGTGTATGGATAGTTTCATTACTTACCATGCCTTCGTCCAACATTTCCAACTCATTGAAACCGGCGCCCTCACGTCCAACACCGATCACTGCTATAGACCGAAACTCCTGATCAATATTGTTAAATACTTTCCCCCTGCCCAATTTTCCGGACAGATTCGTTCTAGGATCGCGATCATCCGAAAATTGGGAAATTAGTTTACAGGCTACCAGTTAAATTCTATGAAGATAAAAACTTACTCTTTGATTAATTCCGATACTTTGCCCTGTACACGATCATCGAATTTCTCCCCGCTTGATGTTAGCTTTGGTTCTTTCTCACCCTCCTTCTGATACAGTCCAATCACAAGTCCTTTCTGGAATAAATCACACAAAAAATCAGCATTGCGTAACAACAAGTGTTTTCAAGTGCAATGCGATCTGATGCTTTCGAAATGGCTTTAAACAGTTGACCTTACCGTTACACGCGAATCATCAGCGTAAAACCTCCGATAGACTTGTTGCAATTTTTTCACATTACCAAATCTCCGCAGAGATCCAGTTAGCCAATTTGCCATGCGTATCGAGGACATATTTTGCAAGTAGTTTTATTGATTTAATTTTAATTATTTCCTTTTATGCAAATTTTTATATATAAAACGGTTTTCAGCTTAAAAATTTTCAATAAAAAATAAATTTGAAATTTGGATTTGACTGAATATTTTTCACAGCTTGTTACAGTTCGTTGAGTGAATTGATTGATTTACAAAGTGCAAGTTTGCAGTACAGTTTCAAAGTGATCTTGAATTATTTTAGATAATTTTTTTTTCTATGGTAGATCGGTAACTTGACACAATATTGATTAACTCATCCGTTCAATATTTAACCGAAAGTAAGAATGGAGAGAGTAGTTTTAATGTTTTTTTTCGATTAAGTTGTGTTATAAATATTCATATAGAATAGAAGATAATACGGCTACTTAATCCCTCGCATAGTAAGTAAATTTAAAATAAAAATTCTTGGCCTGGCCTTAAACCCCAGAGTACCAGTCTTTTGTTTATGAAGAGTTGAAAATGTGCATAGCGATATTTTAATAAAGGTCTACTGTATGTATGTATGTATGCATTTAGGCAGTTATTAAAATGTCGCAATTTTTTGTGTTTTTTTTTCCAAAATGCCGCTACGTGGAACTCGTCGAATTTTGCCTATTTTCAAGACCAAACTACCTGAAGCTGTTATTATCTTACCGCTTAGCATACCTCTAATTGAGGCCATGAGAGCAGAAGTGGCCTAACCCGAATTTTTTTTTGTGTGTTTCCCTACTTAAAATAGTCTTAAATGAGATAAATTTTAAAATGACGGTCGCTTACATAACCTATCATCAAAATAAGTAATAATCGACCTCTAATTTAAGATTTGTTACATTTGAAACTATTTTAAGAATTTAAGTACAAGAAAAAAATTGTGGGTTACGCCACTTCTGCTCTCATGGCCTCAATTCTACTTCAGTTATTTGTAACGGACAGAATTACATACATATATGACTCGTAAACTGGCAAAATTGAGGGGTTTTTGTCGTATTTCAAAAATGTTCAATACCTTAATAAATGTCGGAGATTTTGCATTTTTAAAAGCTTTTATTATGTTTCACCTGTGTGTAATCAAATCTTGCACAAATATTTAAACCAACTTCCCGATGAGCTAGAGACTTGAGACTTGAAACTGTATAACGGCTTAAATTTTATTTAAAAAGGATCGTGTATTTAATTGTGCTCCGTTTTTTGCAATATTTTGCTTTTATTTAAACAATTTTCTTACGAATCTACATACATATATGTAAGTATGTATATATATAACACTATTAAATAGAACATTCGCTATAACAACGTGCGTAATAGTAAAATACGCAAGCATTAAATTGCACCTCTACCAATTAAAAAATAAAGCGTTTCATGTTCTATTAGAACCATTTCCTGTAGGTAGCATCCATGAGCTTATCAGTAAATTTGTCTATTGGGCCAATAATTAATGGAATTGAACACAAACCAATAGCGGTGGGCGTTATTTTTCTAAAGGCTTTTCTAACGTCGGCTTTGCGCATGAGATAACCAGTTAACCATGTAATTCTGCAACAAAAAAAAAAAAACAAATTTATTAGATACCTAGATCAGTACATGGGTGTTCTTCCGTAATTTATAAACACCTGTTTATTGTAACGCCAGGAATGAAGACTGAGGCTACCATTTGCCATGTAAATACATCGCCGGTAACGATAGCTATTTGTTTAGCGCTACTTCCACGTTGATGTTCTTTCACCGATTTGTCAATGGCATCAGCGCAGACATAAGCAGTGGCGAGTAAGTAGGACGCACGAACTAAATTGCGATGTATAAGCGGACGGAAGGCTTCGCCGACCTCATTGGAATAACCTGATGAAGCGTAGTTTAAAAATTAATTGTTGTGGTATAAAATGCTATTATTTATTGGTGGATTCTTCCGATATGTTGAGGTGGTGAAATTTGCATCAAATTTCCGCCACCCCTTGCCTCAGAAACGAAAAATGGCACTCAAGATGGCACAACGCCCAAACTCGTTTTTCTCCAAATCAAATTTGTCAAGAAATCTTATTTATTTAGTTCAATAGTTTACAGAAAAAAAATTATTTTCAAAATACATCAAATACTATTATTATAGGTACTAGATAAGGTTCTTGGAAGAATTGGTGGATTGTTAATAGTTTTATGGCTGTTGTGAAATCGTTGCATACCAGAGCGCCATGTTGCAGTCTTTATTGCATCATACAGAGCACCATGAATAAGTAAGGTACGCAAGCATACATACTCACCTAAATATCGTAGTGGACTATCCCTATAAACATCGTATTCCTTGCTCATTTTGATAATAGTTCAGCTTATAATATATATAATTTTCAGCTTAAAGAAAAAAATACCAGCGGGGATTATTATATAATACTAAGACTGAACAATGTGTGAACAAGTTAATAACTTACATGAGCATGCCAATTAAAATCACTTGTTATTGATGCCCTTCCTCCTCCAAAGAGTCCCAAAGTATTCACTTGTTATTTATCTTTCCGTCATTTTTGTTTTTAATTTATCATCAACCTCAATTGTTGGCAAAGCTTGCTTGTTCCCTTTTTCTTTACATGTGAACAAAAACCAAAAATTTACGAAATTGGGGAGCAAAACATAACTGATCAAAAGTGGCCAGATCAGATCGATATCAATTACAGCCATTTGAATGCCCAATATTTGGATTTGTAAAAATAATCGAAACGTAAGTCTAGGTTCTTTGATTATAGTACATTTTTTTTGAAACTGCGTTTTACACAGATTTTGGGAAAATTTCGATACAGTGTACTCTTAATCGGAAAATACCGGGTATGAGGCATGGCGCAACAATGATTTCACCATAGGTATGAGGGGTGTAAGAGTGAACACCCCAGACCGCGGAGGCTTCTATTTTTAAAAGTTATTGACCGAAATCACTTGAGCTATTACACCCACTCTATTGAAACGATCAGCCTGATCATGAGTTTCATTTTCCCCGAACCTTTTCACTTTTCACTTTTGGTATGGACGGGATAAAAATTTCCGGGTGCATTTTTTTCGGGTGAAACAGGGTAAGGCAAAATATTTCTGCGCGCAACTTCTTTCTGTGTAGGCGGTATAAGGCAATATATTTCAAAAGGCTTTCAAATTGCGAAACTTCAGAAAGCAGTTGCATGTGCAGTCACACATCAATCCCGCCAATCGGTTTGGCAATTTTCTTCCTTTCGCCATCTTAAACCAAGAAAAAGCAACCCTGGCGTTAGAAGAATAAAAAGGAAGAAGCGAACAGTATCGCAAAACGAAATCGTCACGAACCAAGTGATGAAAAACAACAATGCAACAAATGTCAAATGCGCAACGAATGGTAGGCGATAAGAAAAAGTACGAAATAGCGAAAATTCAACTGGAGGCATTAATTTAAGGAAAATCTACGTCTTTTTATTATAAAATAACTTTTTCTTGGATTTGTTGTAATACAAAATAAAAGGTAAGGAAATAAAAAGTTAAATTGATATGCGAATCGAATCTCTGTGGCCATACCTAGATACAGGCATCAAAATGATCAACTGCAATGACTGCGAAAAAATTTATGAGAACTCTGTGCGTGGATTAGTCATTCCTTAAATTTGTTTGTTATATCGAGTTTAATGTTGCGAACTATTGACTTTTATTTTTATAAATTTACGTTGATATTTGCTTTAAAAAATAATTCAGATCGCTTATACCACTCGAAAGTAAACAAAAAATGAAAAACTTAACCTACGAAATCGATTTTGCCTGCACCATTTTTTTTTTTGTACATACCGCAGTGATTATAACTTTATAAGTGACATCATTTTATCGGAGATGTCAGCTGGGCAGGACATTTATAGTTGGAAAAACAATAAAGATTCATAGCGTATCTACGTATGTACTTAAATATGTGTTTACCATCACATTTAATGCGTTATTATTTTATGAACAACTTAGTGACGCGACAAGCATGGCCTCGGGCACAACTTTGCAAAAAGCTATCGACTTGGTGACCAAAGCGACGGAGGAAGATCGCAACAAAAATTATGCGGAAGCGTTGCGTCTGTATGAGCATGGTGTTGAATATTTTCTGCATGCTATCAAGTGTAAATACATATATTTTTGATACTTCTTGTAACGTTGGATAAGATATATTTACATTACACATCTTTTTAGACGAAGCACAAGGCGAGAAGGCCAAGGATTCGATAAGAGCCAAGTGTCTACAGTACTTGGACCGTGCTGAAAAACTCAAGGAGTATTTGAAGAAAGGCAAAAAGAAGCCTGTAAAAGAAGGCGAATCCAGTACCAAGTAGGAAACATATTTTTGAAATGAAATTACGAACTCTTTCTAATCCACTTCTAAAATATTTTAGGGATGACAAAGACAAAAAGGACGATAGCGATTCAGATGGTGAAGATCCTGAGAAGAAAAAACTGCAAGCTAAATTAGAAGGAGCTATAGTCATTGAAAAGCCGCATGTGAAGTGGTCCGATGTAGCTGGCCTAGATGCTGCAAAAGAGGCTCTAAAAGAAGCGGTTATCCTGCCAATTAAGTTTCCACATCTTTTTACTGGTAAACGCATACCTTGGAAGGGCATTCTGCTCTTCGGCCCACCTGGTACTGGCAAATCATATCTTGCCAAGGCTGTAGCGACTGAGGCAAACAATTCAACTTTCTTTTCCGTGTCCAGTTCGGATTTGATGTCTAAATGGCTAGGTGAATCTGAGAAGTTGGTCAAGAATCTCTTCGAGTTAGCACGTCAACATAAACCATCTATCATTTTTATTGATGAAATCGATTCTATGTGCTCGGCGCGTTCGGACAACGAGAATGATAGCGTGCGTCGTATCAAAACAGAGTTTTTGGTGCAAATGCAAGGTGTAGGCAACGACACCGATGGTATTCTCGTATTGGGCGCCACCAATATACCATGGGTGTTGGACTCAGCTATACGGCGACGATTCGAAAAACGTATATACATTCCGTTGCCGGAAGCACAGGCACGTCTGGTAATGTTTAAAATACAT